ATTGATAAAATAAATAAATTATTACGATATGGGTATCAAATTAAAGAGGTTTAAGAACGATAACTGCTGGAAATATTTTTGATGAGGGCTGCCACCCATTTGAAAATTTTTACTCAATCAAATTGATAAAATAAATGAACTATTGCCATGTGGGTGTCAAACTAAAGAGTTTAAAGAAGGCGTACAGCCGAAAATATGTTTGAAGAGGGTTGCCACCTATTTGAAAAATTTTAAACCCAATTATATTGATAAAATTAACGAATTATTAAATTAATAAAATAAATGAACTATTGCAATGTGGGTGTGAAACTAAAGACTTTTAAGAAGGCTTACAGCCGAAAATATGTTTGAGGAGGGCTGCCACCTGTTTGAAAATTTAACTAAATTACATTGATAAAATAAAGGAAATATTACAATATGGGTATCGAATTAAAGAGGTTTCGGAAAGATGGCTGTTGGAAATATTTTTGAGGGTTGCCACCAATTTGAAAATTTTAACTTAGTTAAATTGATAAAGTAAATGAAATATTGCTATGTGGGTATCAAAGTAAAGAGATTTAAGAAGACTTACGGCAGAAAATATGTTTGAGGAGGGTTACCACCTGGTTGAAAATCTAACTCAATTTAATTAATAAAATAAATGACATATTACAATAGAAAGATGACTGCAGGAAATATTTTTGAGGAGGTCTGCCACCTATTTGAAAATTTTAACTCAGTTAAATTGATAAAATATGTTTGAGGAGGGTTGCCACCTGTTTGAAAATTTAACTAAATTACATTGATAAAATAAAGGAAATATTACAATATGGGTATCGAATTAAAGAGGTTTCAGAAAGATGGCTGTTGGAAATATTTTTGAGGGTTGCCACCAATTTGAAAATTTTAACTTAGTTAAATTGATAAAGTAAATAAAATATTGCTATGTGGGTATCAAAGTAAAGATATTTAAGAAGGCTTACGGCAGAAAATATGTTTGAGGAGGGTTACCACCTGGTTCAAAATCTAACTCAATTTAATTAATAAAATAAATGACATATTACAATAGAAATATGACTGTAGGAAATATTTTTGAGGAGGTCTGCCACCTATTTGAAAATTTTAACTCAGTTAAATTGATAAAATAAATGAAATATTGCAATGCCGGTAATAAGCTTTAGATTCTTATTAAGGTTTACGGCCGAAAATATATTTGAGGAGGGTTGCCGCCTGTTTGAAAATTTAACTCAATTGCATAATTGATAAAATAAGTGACTTATTAAAATATAGGTAATGAATTAAGGAGGTAAGATGGATGACTGTTGGAAATATTTTTTAGGAGAGTTGCCACCATTTTGAAAATTTGAACTCGAAAGCTTAGTATGTTGCACCAATGTATTTTCAATATGTTTGATTTATTATTATTTATTTATGGATATGTACAAATGTAAAGCGGATACGGACAATGTGTGGTGGCTGACGGTCGTTCCTGGTTGAATACGGGAAAATAAGTACCCGCGCTATTTTGAATAGAATCGAGTTCAACCTCAAAGCAGCAAAACTGTTTGGAGGGGAAGTTAAAAGATTGGCGTGAAAAATTTATGACAGTTTCTAATAAATACATGTAACATGTGTGCGTACATATATATATTATTAAGCATTAAGGTGGAACGTCTTGGATTGATTAAATAAATGAAATATTGCAATGTGGACATCACACTAAAGAGTTTTAAGAAGACTTACAATCGAAAATATGTTTGAGGTACAATATGGGTGCCAAACGAAATGTAAAAAAAAATCTTGATTTGGAAATATTTTTAATAGGGTTATCACCTATCTAAATATGAAATCTTACATAACTGGTTCCAAACGAAAAGTGTTTGGGAAAGCTTTACTAGGGAATTTTTTTAAATCTTTCCACTTATCCAAAATCCGAACAGTTTAAATAAATTAAAAATTTACAGCATCTTATAAAAAGAAGTGATCATATTATCAACGAAGAGCTGGTGCACAAATTACTTTATGTAAAAAATTAATCAACAAGTCATTTTTAAGCAAAAAACACACCGACTCCAATTCTCATATAAAAATTTAATAGTAACGTTAATTTTTTCATGATCCAATGGTCGGATCTAAACCAAATTAGTATGGCCTCACCTGGAAATCGGTTTACGTGGTCCAAAGTTATGCGGTAACATACATAAAAAAATATTCCGACGAATTGATAACCTTCTCCTTTTTTTGAAGTCGGCTAAAAACTACTGAAACAAATAACAAAATGATAAAAGAGTAACGAAAACAAAAAACTATCTCATGAAAGCTGTTTAAAAAATACTTAATGAAAACTTAAATTTGTTGACACCATTCCCAAGCATTATAAATCAGTTAACTTGTATCGTAAACAATTTCGTATATGCTACGTATATTGCGAGTAAAGAAATTTTGAATAACATGAGATAATATTATTACGATTTTGATTATCATTACTATTGTGAAATCCTATTCCCGATCAAGGATTCCTAAATTAAGCGAAAGCAGAAGGGCATTTACGATCGCATGATGCAAATGTTAAGATAATAAGAGCTGCAGAATTGAACCATGTAGGGACATTATTTACAAGGGCGTGTAATTTCTGGCGTGTGCCGATGACACCGACATCATCGGTAACAAAAATCGCGAAGTCTTTTCTGCCTTTTCCAATCTGGATCAGGAAGCAAAGCAAATGCGAGGACAAGACGAAGTATCTCCTATCATAAACAAACAGTCAGCGCATTCGCACATTGGAACCCACGTCACTGTTGACAGTTATAATTTCGTGAAAGGGGAGAATTTCGTTTACTAGGGAACCAGCATTATCACGTATAAAAATATCAGCATGGAAAACCCACGCAGAATCACTCTTAGCGCAGAAGCTTAGACAATGACAACATTCGATGAGGCGGCTCTTGGAGTATTCGGAAGATTTACAGCCTTCTACGCGTGGGCGACGGGGATTACCATAGACGATGGAACGATGAGTTGTATGAGATTTATAACATACAAAGTGCAGCGAATGAAAATACAGCGACTCCGCGGGCTTAGACATGTCGATCCAATAGGAACCGAAGTTCCAGGTGCGAAAGAATCCTACTCGCAATCCGCTGGTGGTAGCAGAGGAATAGGGAGCCCCCACTGCAGTGGAGAGACCAAGTTGACACAGAGAGAAATGACTGGCGTTCTTTGCCGAGCTCGACCAAAATGGCTTAGGCGGTTACAAAGCCAAAGTAGAAGAACAATATGCAAATGATAACTGACGGAGTTGGGGGACCATCTTCCTGGATGCGCCAGGAGGAACGGTTCGATCTAAAAATTACATTACCTTAGCTATCGCTTCGTCTGGAATTGCTGCGACATTGTTAACAGGTGGAAGCATTGCCAAGTTAGCTCTTGAGCTGCTATTGAACATATAAATCATCGAAACTCTCACGTGCAATATTTCGAGAGCATCCGGTATGGAAAAAGTATTACAAAAATTTAAACTTATTGTTTGGGGTGAGTGCACCATAGCACATAAAAATAGCTTCAGGTTCTTGATCGATTGTTGCGAGATTTGCGTGGAAACGTTCAACAATGCGGGAATGCATTGATATTGCTCGCAGGAGATTTTACGCAAACATTATCTGTAGTTTCTAGATTAACACTAGCGGACGAGATAAATGCTTACCTGAAATAGTCAACATTGCGACAAGACGAACATACATACACTGCAACCGAAGTATTCTCGCGACAATTACTGGACAGTGGGAACGGAAAGCTGCCAATCAATGAGAGGTAAAGACGAATTTTATGGCCTGATAATTTTTGTAACTTAGAAACATCGAAAGGAGAACTGATCGAAAGAATGCTTCTTTATTAAGAAAATTTGTTATAAGAATCACGATTGGCTCAGTGAACGGGCTACTCTTGCTGCGAAGAATAAGGAGGTCTATCAACTAAATAATAGTGGTATTGACAACAGTCGATGCTTGAGCTGATCTGCTATTTTACCAGACTGCCAGGCCACTTGCTCACTTTGGTGAATACCACTAATGTTATTCAATCCAGCATTCAACGTGAGGAAATGGCATATACGTCGATAAACACTGTTGTGGAAAAAGACCATCCAACGGAATTTTTGAACTCGATTGATCTTCCAGGGAGACCCCACATACTGAAATTGAAAATAGGTGTGACAATTACCATGTTGCGGAATATTAATCAGGTAAAACTTTGCAACGGCATGCGACTCGCATTTAAGAAATTGGTGAAGAAAGTATTGTAGGTAAAGATTTTAACGTGGCCTTTCAAAGGTGAGAATTTCCATGATTCCGACCGATACACCATTTCAATTTAAAAGATTACAATTCCCAATTCGATTGACATTCGGAATCACAATCAGTAATGCTCCAGGTCGAATTTTGGAAAAGTATGGTTTAGATTTAGATGCGAATTGCTTCTCAGATGTTGCGTGTTCCTGTGTCGGCAAACCAGATATCCTTGATATCTATGCAGAGAATGGAAAAACAACAAATATTGTATATGAAACGTATGCTTTGTTTCGTTAATAATTTATCATCCATGTAACAGGAATATGCCACAGCAAAGTGTGGCAGGGTACAGCTAGTTTTTTTTTTAATAATTTTTGGAATTAATCATATCTTTGAAATTACAAAGTCCTTCAAAATAAATCCTGCGGTCAGAGAGAATAAATAAAAACGCCACTTTAAATAAAAAGGTAGGTTTCAAACCCATTTACTTATTATTTATTTCATGGTAGGAGAGCTTCTCAAATAATATAGAAGCCATTTTTTCGACTCAAGTTGTTGAAAAGTAATGAATATCTAAATCCCGGGACTAATCCCGGGATCGGAAAAAGCCGAAAAATTAACATCCGTAATACATTCATATATCCATGCATATGGACGTACATATGTATGGGGCAAATACCCCAGTTTGCCCCGCTTCGAAATGTACATACAATTCTAAAAAAATTAATAAACGAATTATTCATCACTCGCTGTATACTACTTATATATTTTTGAATGTATTTCGAAACTGCCCAACATTAATCGTGGCTTGAATACTTAATGTTACCCCAGTATTACACATTGATTTGATTTTCGTTACAAAGTTAAACAAAGAAAATAAGTATGTTGAAAATAAATACTTCATATTAAACAATAATACATTCGAAAGTGTTTTTAAGTATTTAAGATTGCACCCGGTATGTGGTGATTTTGCCGTTGTCATTGATTGTAGTCTGGGCCCCACGCTGACTCATCTTTTTACCGTTGATATCGGAACTACTCGAAAACGAGCTGACTGAAACGCCCTTAAAGCCGCCAGGCGACGATGGTCCACCAAAGCGGTTACTGATGTTCGGAACATCCTGAAAAATAAGCCAGAGACGTTTTGAATACGCTTTTATTAAGTATGTATTTTTAAAATGCTTACTGGGTTCTCCGGACCGATGTGGGCCGTGTGGTAAGATCCGCCTGGACCGATAGAGGCAGCAGCGATCGCATGGTTAGGAGCGTAGCGATTAGCTGTGTCATATCGGCTGCCACCAATGTTTAAGTTATTGAAGTGGGCCTGTTGTTGGGCAATTTGCTGTTGAATACGGCTGTGGAAGAAGGGTCCAAACTTTAAACGTATGCATGAAGAAATTCAAATAAAATTAAGGATAAATAGCAGGAACATACAAATACAGAAAAAGACAACACTACTACACAATTCACATTAATTACTTATGGTCTGGCAAGAAAGAGGCATCCGCGGTTGCCATAGCTGAACCGGAAGAATACACCGAAGCAATAGCGCTAAGGAAATAAATAGAGCAGAGAACTTTGAGTTGGAAATGTGGTTAGCAAAGCATAGCTATTATAGTCGGGGAGGCGAGCGACAAGGCATTGCAAGCATTTTATAAAAGCTCAATTTTTGATATCGTCGCTGGAATAATGAAATAGTGTAACATGAAAAGTATAGTTTTGAGAAAAACGAATTGGAAGTTTTTATAAACCATTACAAACCATACAAATACAATTTCGTTTTTCGGGAATAAATTAGTGAGCCAAAGAGATATTTAAGAAAACTAAAGATTTTTCTAATAGATTAAAGGATTGTCTATCCAATGGTGCAATTATCGAATAATAGTGTATGTGGCATTTACACTGTTTCTTTATTCGAGCGACGATATTGGCTGCATTTCTTTATTCATTCTGAACGTTTGGAATAAACTTTTTTGTTTACTTATTCTTTAGAACGTTCCTGATGATATGTTAACGTATATTTCAAACGCATTCTGTTTATTCTGCATGTGAAACGGGATTATCTGGAATTTATAAAGAAACGCTGCCATTATATCATATTAGTTCTATAGAGAAATAGCTTCAATTTTGTACAGACCTTGAAATCAGTGATGGAAAATCGAAATTTAAAATTGTGCTAAAATTTTTCCGAAAAAATGTGCCTGAATGCAGGTACCATTTCATTTATAAAATATATTTACAGTACTTATTGCATATAAGAAAAACACTAATCTCATGGAAAACCTTAAATTCATCCTTTCTTTTACGAACAGTACACTTAATAAAAGATAATTTTTTTTATATACCTTTTCATTTATTCATATTCCATATTTTAATAATACGTCTTTAATTTTAAAGTATTTCACTGTTTTAATGAATTATCACAAAAATTATTGGGAAATTATAAATTTCTAAACCGTAACAAAAAGGGTGTGCAAAAAAAGGTGCAGTTGGAATTTTAATGCTCTCCTAATCCTAGGGTGTCTAGGATTGTACTGTATTGAAAAAAATATACCACTATTTTTATTTTGAAATTAAGAAACATTTAGAGGTCGCTTGAAAATAAATATTTTTCGAACGGAAAACTCTGGTCTTGAAGATAGACTTGAAGTAATAATACCCGATTGTTTATTTAACCCTTTTTTAATACTAACGATTTTTTATTGGTCCCCCCATTGCATTTTCTGGGATTTTCGGCGGAAAAATTGTTAAATAAACAATTGGATATTATTATTTGGGAATCTCCTGTAGATAATCAGAGTCTTCCGTTCGAAAAATATTGATTTTTAAGAATTCTATACCATTTCTACGAAAATTTGTTTTTTTGTGAGTAACAGTACACTGAGAAAAAGGATTAGTTTCGACAACTAAAGATATTTAGTTCCCGAATTTTGACAATATTTGGGAACTGTTACCAAGGATTGGGAACTATTACCATCGATTGGTAATTATAACTAAATATATTAAAGCTTCTAATATTCATCTAGGTTGTAACAAATCGTTAATTTAGTTGAAGGGTTTGGTTAATACTAATAAATATTTCTTTGAAGCATATTTCTACAAATTCCATTCAACTTAACGTATGGTTCATAAAAGGATGCTATTAAGCTCTGCTAATGCAGATAAGCTTTCTTTCAACACGTGGTTTAGTCATAGTTACCAAATCTTAGTTGAGACAACCACGATTTGGTTTGAGAGTGGAACATATTCATGCTTGTGAGCCACCCCTAAAGAATGCTGAGCGCTCTCTGAGCACATACGAAGAGCGCCAGCTGAGCAATGCAAACAGTCCCACTTATTGAATCGTTTGAATGCGCTAGTATGCCGACCATTGCATTGTGCGTGGAAATCATTGCTCCGCTACCGCTGTTCGTATATGGGTGAAACACGCATGTGGTCCCAGAGCGCTCAGTAAGCTATGGCATGTCGATCGCTGCGCCATGTGTGCTATGACATGCCTATACTTGTTTGTCTCAGTTTCAGTTTTGCTATCATCGCGAGTTGTTTCGGTGCGCGCATAGTTTAAAGTTTAATTAAAAATATAAAGTTTGATGCCAACCGGGGTTTTTCAGTGGATATATAATTCATGTGAATTATAATTTGAAAGTGTCTATTTAGCTAAGGAAAAAGCAAAGCAGTATACTTCCAGCAGATATTGACCTGGGTTTTCGCACGACTGTTCCTGTTTCTTCGTTGTTTTTTAGAAAATTCTTACCAACATATACATATGTATTATTTACTTTAGTAACTAACTTATGTAAATATGTACGTATTTTTATGCTTAATATATGCAAATAAAAGAAGAAAGTAAACACAACAAACATCGAGTAAATTTTTATTTGTGTCAAACTGAAACTTTTTTCCTAATAATAAACGGTTAGCTGATTCAAGTCTACAGCAAGTTCACAAAATTAATTGAAAACTTGTATCAGCCAAAGCATTGTTTATATTTGCTCAACAATGATTTTATTCAACTAACAATATTGTCCAATCAAGGTAGTCGTTTTGTAATTATTAACAAATATACATTTGTCCCAACTAGAAGTCTTAAGTAAATTGCAGACTTTCGTGAACTATATATTTATTTCGCCATATCCAACTATGCCACTTGATCACTATAACCAAATCTTGGTTATTATAACTAAACCTTTTTCTGGGTGTACCTACATACATAGAAGAATGAACAAAAGTTATTTGAAGCGTTCGGACGTTCCGATTTTCAATATACTAACAATCGATAATCCGCTGTCGGCCGCTGTGGTGTAGTGGTAAGCAGTGCGCGCTTCCACTCCGCAGCACCTGGGTTCAAGCCCTGGTCAAAGCAACATCGCAAAAAAATATAGAAATAAAGTAATGTAAAAAAAATATTTTTTTAAAAATAAGCTTTTATTTAACATGTTCAATCAAAGGAATAAAATAAAGTA